TACTAAAACCAGAAATTTCTGATTCAATAATATTAAGTATGAAGATGATTTCGGCTGTATGCAAGCCACGCCTTTGCCTTTCTTTTTTTCAGTAATGACATCTCGATAACATATTATCGATTGCGTCAATCTCTATGGAAGTGGGGTTATGAATTTCAGAAATTCACGTATTTGATATATTTTTTAATTGAATTCGTATACATTTGGGTTATTAATGCACTTGAATGGTATAATTTTACGGATATATTTATGTAAAAAACTTTTGTGGTAGTTTTAGATATCTAAAAATTTAAATAGTACTTACATGTGAAATGTACAATGTGAAATCCGGGCACTGAACACGTTACCATGACTAATAAACGTCCGTTTATCACTATTCCACATTTCAAAACCAATTATTTTTCAAAAATAAACGAAATTTGTTTCGTTGTCAGCTGACTCTAGGGTCATAAAGACTCATAGCGTAGAATGAAGTGGTCTCGTCTACCTATCTCGCTCTAACATACGTGTATACTAACGCTCTTTCACTTGCATTGCCAATCTATGGGTACATATATACTAAATCTATGAAAACAAGTTAAGGTTACGTAATGATAAAGTAATCGATGTGTTTATTAGAATTGTAATTTATAGATACCGGTTCTTAATGCGAAATACTTACCAATTTATTTATTTTTAATGATTTGCAAAGTTTTCGTCGAACCACAAAGACGTGGTACATTCTTAAATCGACAATCACTGCAAGAACTTTAGACATAAAAAAAAGGAGGCACGGGAGTGCTTGGACAAGTCATGCAACTATAATGCCGTCATTCTTTAAGTTATTGGTCGAAAGTTTTTAGTCAAAATTGAATAGAATAGAATAGAATAGAATAGAATAGACATTTATTGCGACGCCACAACACAAAAAAAAATGAATTATAACACAGTACGATGAACATTAAAATTAAAAATAATAACAGTAATAATAATTAATAAACAAAATAGACATACATACATACAAAATTGGAAAGACACTTTCTTCTAAATGCTATATCATCTCATGTACGTCCCATTGCTGTTAACTTTAAATTCCTGTTTTTCTTTTACGGCTCTACACTGTTGTGCGTTTGTGATAATGATAACAATAAATGTATTATCTACGTATCCACTTTCTATCCGTATAACCAAAATATTGTAATCCTATCGGTTGCTGGAAAACAGGTCTTCTTCGCTCCGCCTCTCGTAAGATAACCACAATTTAAAAAATCGACCGCACGATCTAGAACAAAGTTCTCGTTCGCACAATATGATGAATGTTTTCAAATTGATCCCTCGAGGGATTCGAGCCGGTGTTAAAACTGCTTGCGGATGAGTTTCCGCATTCTTCGTGCCGTTTCTTCGACAAACAGTGCGATTGTTCTGTTGCGACATAATGACGATGTCGCTTCGACTACAATGACCACGGATTTGATTACATAAATGTATGTACATATGCATATATTAACACCTATAGACAGTGTCGTTGTTAATAAAACTGATCTCTGTTTCAACTCGTATTCGTCCCACCGCGGGGTCTTTTTAAAAGCTATTTAGAAACAAACACTATGTATGTACACATTTTTCAAAATACAATGTATTAAGGCAAAATGACATTTTTTATTCCATTCTGTTTACAACATAATAACACAGAACTTGGCCACATTTTATTATTATAACATTTTCATTACTACATTTCCGTGCATTATTAATTTCAATGTAATTGCAAATTCGCAACTCTGAATGTAAACATAGAGTTCGATGTAAAAAAATGTTTACACTCGGAAAGTAGTATGTTTTGTATCTCTCGACGGTGGCGGAGGAGGCGCTAAAGAATTACTGTTCTCATTCACGAGAGAAGCGTAAATAGTCATTGTCGTAACGATGTATATGGTTTTAACGTTCTCCGCGAATTTTCTGAAGTTTTATTAGTATTTATGCGTATAAACACGTTAATTTGTTTGAGGTACAGTCAGACGAAAATTTTTAATTGGCATAGTAAAATTGCTTCTCAATAAAAAGATCGGCAGTTCGAATCCCTATGGTACGTCACATACTTTTTTGAAAACACTGTGATGAAACTTGCGTATCGATGACCCGCAATGGACCTCAGACTACGGTCTAAACCAGAGGTTCCCAGATTTTTTTTCTCATAGACCACTTTCAAAATTTAGCTGGTTCCGGTGGACCCTCTGCAGCTACATTTCTACCATATTCCATATTATTTTTTGTCACGTCAACGTAGACCCCCGTCGAGACTTCCGTGGACCCCTGGGGGTCCACCTGGACCACTTTGGGAACTAAGGGTCTAAACCGTTTCTTTTTGATACGAAATTGGTGGTAAACGACAAGCCTACCTATAACAGATGCAGTGCCACTAAGAACTTTAAATCTCAAACCTAAGGGGCACGGTCTTTGACGCTAGGCGGCAAATATAGGGACAGTGGCAATACATCCGCGGACGAAATTTCCTTTCGTCCATGTACATAACTGGTTTTCGTTATCAGTTACGAAACGACGATTTTTTTTCTTTCTTTCGCAACAAATTTTTCACAAGGACTTTTATGACAATGATAATTTTTATGAAGTATAACCACTTGATAACATAATATGAGAAAATTACTAGTAGACGTAATGTGTACTCTGTGTAATTCATTGTATTACTAATACGGGTTTAACAGATTCATGACGTGCAATTAGGAACTAGCGCGAATTATTTAGCCTGAAGGGGAACTTATTGTGATTATGTCAGTAGATGACCTAAGTTCATTTATATATGACACGTCTCATTCTCATATAACACGAATTCCTTTTAGCGTGAATCTAAAATCTTGTAATTTTAACGGGTTTTGTTTACATGGGTAAATTCAATATTTAACTTTTTATGTTGCGATGTGAAGAATACAATTTCCTCACAAATGGACGCACCATTTTTTCAACACAGGTTGTCTACCAGCTCAAAATATTTGTTAATTTTTTTATCTTATCGTAGCATCCAATTGTTTTGTAAAGTAACAGTCCGGATTCGGGTTTGTAACATCTGAACCCGGGCACAGTTTCACCTCGAGAGATGACATTAAATTTGTATCGTCTGAACCCGAATTCATTTTCGACAGATATTGGTAAATTTTATTGATTTAAGGCAGTGAGCATAAATAATACTAAAGACGCAATGCCTACAAACAATTTATTATTAAAAATCTGGCATTCTGGGCCCGTCTTGCGTTCGTCTCATTCATTCACTACCCGACTACGACGATGTCGTCGACACTTCTCGTTGCTGGACGTCCATGTTTCTATGACCGCTTGTTGGCCACCATGTGCTTCAATATAGTTGCAAATTGAACGTTTATATTAATCGATCTTCTTTTTCCACTAAATTTACCATCAATTGTACAGTATAAACAAAAATGTATTCCGAAGTGTTTCTTTTGGGAATCATTGATACACAACGCGTCAATCGGAGGAAGCTCGTGTTTACATGAGCTGATCGCTGAAGTTTTTCTGTGTATTCTGCTTGTAAGAACTCTCTCAGCGATTCTGTACCGAGAAATCTGAATTTTCAAATTCTTGGTATATATTCTTGGTAGTTCGCTATAAAGGTCTACGTCTCGCATGGAATTGAAACTGGAATAAAGATACATACGTATACCGGGGTAGACAGATTGTGAAACCTCTTTTGCTTCACATGCATTTGAACTTTTCCTCCGTGGCCATCTTTCCAACGTCACCTTCTACGTTCGCTCCATATATCTCTTTCGCAACTTTACTTTCATTCATCGGCTCCATATTCACAGATTATTTCAACATTTCTTTTTCTATTTCCGTCACGAAGGTCTCTTTCAAACCACATCGTTCACGGATCATAATATTATTCACGTAATCACACAGTATATATTTATCAAGGTTACGAAGAAAACAGGTTGCTCGTTATCTATCACCAATTAATATTTGTATAACTCCAGAGATTCTATGTATAGAATGGAATAAATCTTGAGGATAGTCTGGTTAAAATCTGAAAGGCCAATTTTATATTCAAGGATGCGAGCTCATACTTAAGAATCCTTCAACTCAGTGTTAACCGATACACTACTGTTTCTTGAAGAGTTTGGCAAAGTGTATTAGGGAATAAATTTTATTTTTCTTGAACTTTTAATGACTTTCTGTGTATTATTACACGTTTTTTTAGACAAAATTATAACTTGGGCCTTTTCAAGGCGAGAGTGAAGAGAGATTATTTAGGTGCATGCCATCGTCGAACTCATCGTCACTTTCGTCAATTACGCACTTATTTAATAAAAAATGTAACACAAAATTCTCCATAGTACTCTCTTTTAGTAAAATTCATTAAGGAGTCGGGTGTATTAAATTCATGTCACTAGGAAACTTTAAGTATGAAGTTTGTTACAGTTACCGGGCAGACTAATGTCGTACAGACAGCTTTTGGTCTCTCTGGCCTAATTTCCTGTTTTATTACTCTCTTGTTCACCGCAACCACATTAGTATTTTGGTAAAAGTTTATCTGGTTTACATCGTTAGCTTCATCTATTTCTTTGAAGTGCCATCAGTTACGCAAAATTCATCATTCATTGTCATGTATACAATTTTTGTAAATAATTACTAGACAGTTGAATAATCGCATAAATTTCACGGCTTATTGTTCCTCAGGAATTTGGTCAAAGAACGCCTTTGCCATTTTGTTGACCCTGACAATAAACTTAAAACGTAACCTTACATAATCTCAAAAAATAATTTAACAGCAATGCGGTTTGAGTCTTAAATGATTTGGCGTTAAAACTTAAATTACGCCATTTTGCATCCAAAACAAAAGAAGCCGTGCAATAGTGTGTCTCTTTCTGGCTTATGAAATGATTTAATTACATCTCGTTTTAACAATCATTCAAATTCAAGTGCACAGGTGCAATCTATAGCCATCCCTTTTGCTCCAGCCTATAGCGGCTAGTCATGCGTAGGTCAGTCTCCGCTAACGCGCGCTGAGTTACTGACGCGTCGATAATTCAAAATATCGTATGTTTTTGTTCATAATGCATGTTATTTTTCTTTTAAAGGGTTATTAAAGTGATTAAGGCCTGGTCATATTCAGCCCAGTGATGTGCTAATAGTGTTTTTTATTTTTAATAGTGACGTTTTTGGCACCTTTTTTGGATTTTTATTCCGGATTGACTTCGTTCCTAGAATTGGTACGGGTTTTTTTGAAGTTCCCACCGTTATTTGTTCAAGATTGGTCTCCTTTCTTTTACTTTGAATTTAATGTGCATTCGGTGACTTTTAAGATTTTTTCATTTCATTTTTCATTTTTGTTTTTTTTCATTTCTTATTATTTGTTATTTACATTGATTGAGGCTCAAGACGTTGCAGCGGTGTCTATAATAAGAAATTGAATTATCGAAAATAAAATCGTCTTGACTTATAAAAAACAAATTATTTTCGAATATATGTATAGACCCCAACCCGCATTGGACCAGTGCGTCCTACTATGGCCTAAAATGCCATTGAAAGATGAGTGTCGTGCACTCGAAAGTACGAATTTGACATTGGCTTAATTCAAAATAAATTCTCAAATTTATTATTACAAAATTGAGAAATATTATTGTTGTTCACGATTATTGTCTGAAATAACTTAGTGCGTAGTAGTTTAGTAGCAGTAGAGTTCCTGCGAAAGAGTTCGTCCAGGGAAGTACTGCCACCTAATCTATTTCTGCCGCCAAGCAGTAATGTCAGTATTACTGAGTTCCGGTTTTGAAGGGTTAGGGTGGTGGTGAAACTACAGACATATGGGACTTGTCAACTTATATTTCAGGAAGACGGCCGCACTGGCAGTGCCTCTCAGATCTTTGCGATTCAAAGCTCTGAGTGGCACTGCAACTGTTAAGGACAGGCGTGTAGCTTACCGTCAGGCGCACGACTTGTTCGTCCCGTCACTTATTATTATAAAAAAAAAACAAAAAACTTAGTGCTTCTTTGAAAAACTTGTTTACTTTGTGTAGTGTGATCATAAATGTCAATTTATGAATTTATACGAGCAGTTGTTACAATAATACGAATAGATTCAGTCTCCTTGGGGTATTTCCGAATAACCGACGTTGGAAGTTACTGTGTAACACATTGTTTTACCACGACTTCATAGTTTTGGTTCAAAGTTAAAACCCCATGTAATTGACATCGTCCACTTTAGCCGGAATGGACGTAACCATTACATCAAAATTACAATTACAACCAAAAGTTATTTACATAATTCGATGAATTGCATATTCTATGTTGTGATGTACATAATTCATTTTCATCTGACTTGTAACTATTAATGCTGAAAGCCACGATTTATCTTATGGTAAAATTAAATATCCCGCTTGTTGTTCACGCTATTGATGTCTAATACTAAATTAACGCGGTTTCAAATTCATGACCTTGCGTATCACGAGGCAAACGCTATACAACTCTGTCATCGCTAAATATAATATTAACACTTTATAATTTATAAAATATTTTTTCCTTAAGAGCACTTCTTTTCAGTGCAAGCGCTTACAATAGGGTGACGTTACGAATACCAAACATCGGAACACTTTACAAACATTGGCTGTAAACTCTGCGAGATAAATGTTCCCACCACACTGAGGTGAAGTTGGTTAGTTGATCTGTTTGGACTTAATTATCTTAGGAAACCCAACCAACAGTAGGGATAAACTAGCGGTTGCAACATACACCCCAAAAACTATATCTGCATATATATATCCACTACACGTAAAAGCGGTAAAAATTATTTGTTTATTTTTTTGTTGATCGATTTCTCCGAAATTTTATTTCAGTGAGGTTCAATTATTATTGCAAAGTTGTAAAATTGAAAAACATTTTGGTCCAAATTTATGTGTTGAATTGTGAAAATTCTACGCTTACCACACATGCAGAATGAAGATAAAGTCTTTGAAGATGTATGTTAACATTTTTTGCTACGTGGGTTGGTTTGTTTTCTCGTGATGTTTTTTACCTCTACCTCTAATAACTGATAGTCAGTGACGTTACTAGGAATCCTCCGTCCGGCCTTACGAGATGAGTCAATTGGGATTACAACGGGCTCAATTACAATGCTTTAAATAGGACGCTGTAATTGAGATGCTGTGGAAGTTTTATAGTCGTCTTGTTTTACAAGACATTATTGCCTTCTGTCTTCTTATACCTACTTAGACCTGACACGGTATCAAAAGACGTCTTTGCTCAACAAGATATTCAGTACTTTGGATTATTCTAGACTTTGTTGAATAAGTTCGCGACAAGGACCACATTGCTCTGTTTGCACTCGCCTGATAACGGAGAACTTCCAACTGCACCTAACATTGAATAGTACGTTCGCGATAAGATTATAAAAGGAAATTCAAACTGACCAATCATGGGACTTTGATGCCACTTGTAATACGGTAGGAAACTCAAACTAACCAATCACATGGGTTTACACTGCGATGTGACAATTACCTTTGCTTTCGTACTTTTAGTGTTTGACTTCTGAATCTTGTTTAGAGTCCTTATGTTTTTATATATTTGCCAGAACTTGTACACAAAAAAATTCAAGCACATCATCTGAGGAAAACATCTTTAAGAATTGGTCATTGACCTCCAGACTCTCTTGAAAGCCTTCCTGTTTTTGACTTCTTTACGAGTACTTCCTGACTTCGTTTTCCTTTTGTTAAGTCTCGAAGTGATGATAATGGTGTGTCACATTATTCAATTGTATTTTTCTGGTAATGCCTACTACTACCTACTACCTACAGTTGCTCAAGAAGTTCAAGAAGTTGCTTATTTAATTAATGAATTAGGTTTATAGCCCATTTTTCCGGCCGGTTATATTTTTATTCGAAACGTTTAAAATCCATCGGTTTGCAGGTAACAAAAGTTCGTTAACAATATCCCACCAATTATTGATGTTCTCAAACCCATTAGATAGGCTTCCAAAACTAGTCAGGTTATAGAATGTGTCAGCACCAGATGAGGTCACCCCCGCGGAGACATGTGCGAGTTCTAAATTGAAATCCGCACATGTGCATGCGCTAATTCTTTGTCTGTTTTTTAAAAGTGGTTTTTGATGCAAATTTTCAAGTTTTTAAAAGTTTCGGCCTTGTTTTTTAATAATTTTGAACAAACTTAAATAACAATAATTGTAATCGTGCAAATTGTTTAGCCGGACGTCGCCTTTTGATACAAATTACCAACTAATTATCAACCGACATTATTATGTTTGGTAGGTACTCGATATTATGTGACTAAGGGTCGTATTCCAGAACTCTACTCAATACTCAAGTCAGGACTTGAGTATAGCAGTGAGCACTGAAAATCATACTCAAGTCCTTGCCATTAGGGTCGTATTTCCAGTGCTTGAAATCATACTCAAGTCTGCTCAAGTCCTGAGTTGAGCATTGAGTAGAGTTCTGGAATACGACCCTTAGACGTACTCATCGTAAGTTTGTTTAAGATGTCAAGGATATCGAGTTCTAGATTTTCGATTGGAAATGAAACTGCTTTTTTCAATTTGTGTTGTAATGTATTTATTTTAACAATAAGTCCTGATCTTTGGTCTTGAGCAGCCCAAAGCGTTGGCTTGCTTGAAAACGCGATATTTATTTTATTGAATATCATGATGCTTTTACTACTCGTAGTTATTATTCGTGATTTTTTTTGGTGACAGTGCAAAAACGCCGTTTAAACACAATGCATGCAAGCACATAGAGAAACTAGTAAGATCTGCTGACACGATCTATAGCTCAGTTGGTGAGAGCGGTAGCCACGGTGAGGCAACAGACATTGGTTCGAGTCCAGTGGGATCGAGGACATTTTTATAATAACAAATATACTGTTTATTCCACTTGTCCCTACCAGCTGTCTGCCCTGGTGGGGACAAGTGGATTTTTTCCCCTCTTCCCTACCACACCATCACTGGTTAGAATCTTGACGTGTACAGTACTGTTTCGACAAAAATATCTAATTACATAATATTCACAGTAATATCTTTTTGATGGATAATTGTAGCTGGTGAGTATAAGATCTCTTTATTGATTGAGTCACTATAAAATAATGAAGAAACATGTGACAGTCAATCGACTTCCCCATTTTTATGTATAATTATTAGCATAATACTGACACCGGCTCAAGCTTCGTGGGCGCCATTAAGAATAATAATAATAATAACTGAGGATTTGGCGTATGCCTTTTTGCCAGAAACCATAAAAAAAAAATTTACCAGGACTTGGCTGTATAGTTCCGAAAAAAAAAAAAAAAAGTGTTATACAAACTTTAGTACAACTTATAGGAATAGTTTTTGGGAAGTTAATTTGAGAATTTAAGCTTTTTATAACCTTCTTGGGGACCGAAGACTACAGCAGTTACTTCCCTTCGAATACTAAAATAAAGATGAGCAATGTATAACTATAACAATAGAAAACGTTAACACACTACGTTTACGATGGATGGTTTATCGTCCCCCATCAATCTCCTTAAACCACTCTTACTAAAGATAACAAGACAAAACCTTCCATGGAGCACTTTTGAGATAACAACTTTCAATGAAATATCGTCATAAATCTTGACGCGTACGCCATTGGCGTCCAAAAGGACCTTAATCTTTAAGGGTCCATTTAAAATAATAACACGTTTTAGTGTAAAAGCATTTTATCTATTAAGCTCGATGTTTCTCTTATTACAAATGGATGAAACGAACCGAATTGCTATCGTCGTGAAGCGCAGATAAAAAAGGGATTTTGTACGATAAGTGAGAATGTGTAACAGTTTTGTAATAACTTTTACAAAAGTTCGTGGAATTACATCTATTGGCCAAGTTTTATTGAAATCGGTTACCGGAAAGTGCGTGAAACCGGATTTATCCCGTAGTTTGCCACCTTTAGAGGTGGTCTTTCCAACAAAAAAGAAACCTCATCAGGCCGAGTTATCGCGTAACATACATAAAAAAATTATACAGTTGAATTGAAAATCTCGTCCTTTTTTTGAAGTCGATTAGTAAAGAATAATATTGCACTTATTAAAAGACATCATACGACAACATCCAGTATGTTTTTATTGAATAATTATAGAGAGAAACAAGGATCGAACACAGAAAAATTTCAAGCCGGTGGGACTTGAACTCACGTCCATGCTGCACCGTAGCATTGCGATGGTTAGAGCAATGCTACGGTGTCACGGG